CCAATGCTTAGTACCATGAGACTTCGAAATTCACTGCCGAAAGACGTGCACGCTGCGAAAGCCTTAACGCTGATGTTTTGCTGTATACCACTTTCTTTACTTGAAGATTTTGGTTGAAACACATTCTTGCGACGCAGTTGTATTACGACTAGATTGCGGTGACTGCTAAACTTGCTTGAAAGAATGTGTTTTATTCAAGCAAATTCAATTAGCAAACTAGGCTCTTTTGAGAATATCATTTACTAATATTAACTAATTATCTGGAGACGTCCCACTCAGATATGTTGTTCTCCTAGTGAGAAAACATATATCTGCATAAATCATGGAATAAGAAATACAACTATTGTGGACAAAAACATCGTGGCCCCATCGGGCAGGAAAGTCGTGCGCCACCGTGTGGCGCACGCGGTGCGTAATGTGTTAAATGTGCAAAGCAGAATTTGTTGCAGTGAACAATGAAATTAAGTGAGATGAGCCATTTCTCTTTTAATGGTCCTTTCCTCCAAATTTTGTATATGGGATGGGTTAAACAGATTTTGGAAATTCAACTATTTCTCCTTTAAAAGATTTCAAATTTTTCGTGAAAGCTCTTTGTTACATAAAATAGACGTCTGCACTTTTTTGTACACATGCGAGTTCGAATGATCATGAGTTCCTCAATTTTGATGTCTTGGAAACCTAAGTCGATCATGGTGATCTACAGGAATCGTTCTCTTTGATGCCAAAGCTCAGAACTTACTCAATCACAAAATAGTCTCATTTGTACCTTTTGGGGGTCCTTTCCAAGCCATTTTCTCAACTTGTATGGTATTCGAGGTTCGATGGTCAAAAATTCCCAAAACTGGATTTCTTTGAACAAGTCACTCTCACGGAAGATACATTACTTGGTTTTCTGTTATGCACTGAAAGTCTTGAAATTCACTTATTCATAAATGTTTCTTTTGTCAAAATTTTCTCTTGCTCTTCGAAAAGGCAACCTCTCTATATAAATGAAGCTTTTGTACTCATTTTGGTCCAGATAAATTGAAGTTCTTCTAAAACTATGTGATTTGGTTCGTGAAGAATTGGATGTAAAGCGCTATGCTGTAACAACTTTTGCACTGAGATGCGCTTGCTGTTCAACATAGTGTAGGCTTTGAAGATCTGATACCCTTTTTCATAACTTGTAAAAGCAAGCCATCCTGCTCCCCGCCTCGTTATGATGATTGTTCAAGCCCATTAATGTATTCCAGTTTTATTTGAACTGTATTTACTAAGCACACATCCCTGTGCTTGTGAAGCCGTCCTCTTGCAGAGGCACTATTAGGACGGGGGGTGAAGACTGTAGAGGATATCCTACCATTGGCTCTCTGTACTGTGCGAGAGTAGTGCCGAGAGTGAACGTACGCGTGGAGAGCACAGACGGCTCGCGCATGGCGAGCGTGAATGTCCGCGCGGGAGAACGCAAATGATCAGGCAAAAATCCTCGACGTGCCGTTGGTAATCCTTCGACGCATTCACAGCTGTCCTATGAACTGCCCGCCTTGCAGTAGAGTAAAATTAAGTTGTTCAAGATTGGACGACTATACTTTTTAACTCGCTTTGGTTCGTTTACTGCCCTGTTTAAACGTCACGATTCAGCGTTGTGAATGAATCCACAAGATGGTTTCTGAAACAAAAATTTACCGCAAGACGAGTGAATCGAACACAGTCCTATCGCTTTCAGGGGCAAAGCGAACTAAAAGTGTATGCTTACACGCTCCGCCGATGTGCTTGTAAGGGCTGCGGTAAAGCAGACCATGAAAAAGATAGAGTCAGGCACAAAGAGTACCAGGACGTATGGTTGATGGCGCGCAATTTCAAAGTAAGCGAAATGTACGGGCTTTTGAGCATCACTGAGGTTGAAGCTTTGTTCATATCCAGCATATTTGGCTCTACTGTTTAGGCCTACCAGGCCACTCCAAAGCTTTCCGCTAAATGCAACTTGTTTTGAATCTTCATGCAATCAACTTTGCGAGAACGTTGGAAGGATTGTTGCTGGTGATGAGAAATCGCATCGCTGGAGTGTCTACTCATTTGACATTACCCTTCTCTTATGAGCACACTTTCCAGCGCTGGCTGTAAATTCTCACACACTCCGGCTCTGTAGCCGATCTTTGTGACTATGACTTAAAGGACGAATTCACGATGAAAAAGCAACCCATTTCAAATTAACCTAGGGATGGTGAGTGGTACACGAAAGAAGGAAGAACCATGAGAAACGGCCCAGAACCCGAGAAATGGGACCCCTTCCTTGCCCGTTGATTTGAGCATTGATGCGACTCTCATCGCTGTGCCCTCTTCAACACTACGCTCTCTCAGCTATCTAATCACTCGCCACGTATAGAACTGCGGCGAGTGATCAGATGGTCGGTGGGCGGAGATCGCCGGACCCGCCAACTTTGAGGCATGATAGGTCGCCGAGGTCAAATTTTTCCATGCGAATTGCGCGTCAGTTCGCACCCTCAGGAGGTCCGTGGGTCCCTCAACTAGGTCAGTTTCCCTTCTTCGACCTTCATTCTAATCGTGAATTCCTCCTTTAAATCACTGGCACTGAACTGAACTCTATCCATTTTTCGGAATCGTTTAGCGACTACTTGCATTTTGCGATATATACACAAGATTGTGTCTGGAATGTCAGAGCTATTAGCGTCCGCATTGCATGATTCACACTACATATTTTGCATAATCTCCCACTGTCATAGAACATAGTGGAGTAGGAGGAAGCCGCATCTTTATCGAGAAGCAAGGGTGGATGCTTCCCAAAAAGAAGATGACCCTCACAATTCCAATTCCGAACGAAGCATAAAAATTTTTATTACCCACATATACCATGATTGAGTATTATTCTGTGAACAAAATATTGTTTTGGAGTAGGTAGCGGCCCCGTGGCTGTCGCAGGAAGAGCCACACTTCACATGTCAAAAAGACGTTATGGTCCGGAAATAAAGGTAGCTCGACAGCAAATGGAGCATCCATGCGATGGAAATCATTTAGAGATGTTGTTCTCAACAGGACAAGAAAATAATGTTAGGATTCCATGTTCTTTTTGCTGACAGAGGTAATGGTCCTGATAGACCCAGCAGCTGCAGGCAACAGTGAACAGCCCCTCCCCCTTCAAATGGTCGAATCTATTCCCTGCGAACTTCGTAGAAGCCAAATCTAGACTAAATAAGTTATAGGCGCCTAAGGCCGTGTGAGCTGATCATGATCGGTTGATTTTCGTACTAACTTGCGAGCTAATTTCTTCCCATTGAAATTGGGCTAACTCTGATGAAGTTCATGCCGTGACTCATTCTCTAAATCACATAGTAAAAGGCTTTTCACGGTCGTTTTGTTCATGGCACATAAACGCACACGAAATTTTGCGAGCGTCGATAACGATTCTCATGCGTAAGTGGATGTTTGTGCACTCTTAGAACAGTACGAAGAGTTAACCACAATCACTGACAGGTTTCTGTGTTCCCATTCTTGCACTTCCAGCTCACACTTTTTATTGTCTTATCACTGGTGCCCCTTCCAGGGATCTTTGAGTCACAAAGAATCGCAACTTTTTGACTGGTATACCTGAACTTCCCAAAACGACACCTCCAGTCGGCTAATTGTTGAATGTGTTTCTAAGGCAACTTCAAGAGAGAGAGAGCGATTCAGGCGACTGGGCGATCAAACGGGTAGGAGTGTAGGTGAGTGGGACTGCTTACCTGCCTGCTCTATAACCCACTATACCGCCTGGTTCACTCCGCTCGCTGAACGATCATGGCCTACTCGCTAATACGCCTGCGTCGTCAACTCTGAACAATACCTAAGCGATTTCGATGTTCAGGCCGCCTTCGTACCTTCTAATCAGTACATAGCCACTTTCCGCGGTGATAACCTTACGTCCTAATCACCCTATTTGTGGAGTATGCACGGTCTTATCGATGCAAAGAAGTGTTTGTAGAATCGCTGCTAGAAACTGATCAGATACCATTTTGTTCTAGGTGATGTTTTCGAGTACTCGACGATATCGCTCACACTACAGAGCTCAGTTCAATCAGGTACAGTTTCACTTTACTAACACGGCCGGTCATGCTCGGTCACACCTCCGGTGCTCCACAAACTAATGTAGGTTTTATACTTTATCCAATCACAACTGATAGATCGTTTTCAGTTGAAATCCTCCCCAGGAGAGGATTTTGCCGGAATTCCACTAGACGTACTTCGAAGCCGACTTCGAAAGCACAGATCATCTATCAAATTACGAGATGATCAGATCGAGGCTCTTCTCAGAGAAGCCGACAAAAACGGTGACGAACGTATTACGGTCGAGGAATTCGAGGAATTGGTTAGCTAGCTGTTCCAGCCCCTTACTGGATGAAAGCGCCATTAATAAATGCTTTTCTCAGGTCACTTCGACGAAAGCTCAGTCGTCACAAGTGAAGCGGGCTCTCTATTTGATAGCTGATCAAGTGATTACTCCTCAGCAACGGATAGAAGTCCATTCATATATCGACGAATACAGTTGCTATCCTCCTCCGTTGTTCATCCTCTTCATAACACTTGTCGAGGTGAGTGATTAGAGCAACAATCCCGGCTCAAATTGGTTGGGCAACAAAGGTCGATAATGAAAGTGTGGAGGCTTATTGACCAAAATGAAAAGGGTAAAGGGGGTCGTCTGGGAAGCCATTAACAAGGACCCCCTATTTTCCCCTCTGAGATGAAGTAGATGGGGCATACCTGAACCACAACCCTGAATCTTCTAAACTTGCTTTCTCTATGGCTCCAGTGCATAACCCACGCGTATGTAAATTATGAGCTAATACGTCGTTATCACGTTGCGTGTCACGGGTTGTGCGCGAGTTATCTTGGCTATTGGCTCTCATTAGCTCACTTTGTAAGGCCCTAGCACCTTTACAGCTTGGTTAATCGCGACAACGGCACTTCTTTAAAGCGAGAGATTACGATAGGATTCTGTTGTGTTCATAGTGGAAGTGGAGATGCTGAATAATGCCCTAGTAGCGAAAAAAGCAAAGAAATCCGTCAAAAACGCGCAAAATGGGACCACTTCCTCTGCCCGTTGACCTCCGATAATGGACGAGTTGGCAACCAACTAAGAGGTCGTCGACGGCAACGCGCGTTTTGGGTTTTTGCACCGCGTGGGACCACGGCGATTTTGCAGGCGCCGCCGCCTCACATCAAATCCGTGAATTTTGAGCTTTGAATACCCAAAACTCCGATGCAGCAAGGGTTTGATGATATACGATGTTTCAAACTTATCAGAAGGGACAACTGTGAAAAATCGATCCGAATTGACGTTTTCTGGCGATGAAGGCAAGTTTCAGTTGCTTTTGCTGCAGTGAACCTCAAAATTATTTTTGACGCGGTTGCTCCACTAAAAACATATGTCTTGCTATATGTGTGGGTCTGTACTTACTTCTACTGCTCTTTTTTATGACCAAGATTATCAGAATATAAAGGAAACTAGGAATGAACACAATGGGAATTGTAGGAGATTAGAAA